TGCACAAACAATGAATCATGGAACACTGCATCGAAAACTAATGATGTAATGTAATGTATGTGATTAACATAACAATAAAAAATTTAAAAAAAGAAATCCTGTGTCTCAGGAATTTAACATTCATCTTCAGCCTTCAAATAACTTCAGATAACTAACTCAAATCCTCTTTTAAAAATTTCAAAATGCATCTTTAAGATACGTGAATACATTTTAGTCTTCCATAAACGAATTTTAATTCCCACTTATTGCATTTCCTTTCAGATATATTTGCTTATACAAGTCTTTTTCTCCCATTTGAAGTCTGATCTCGGTCTTTTTGAGTTTTTAATTTCACTGTATCTGCTTCTTGCCCAATGTTCTCTTAGGACCTCGGGCCACCTCCTCTGAATGTTTACCTTTCTGTTCATGCTGGGACACAGCCGCAGACTCTTTCCCCTCCTTCTCTTTGGGCTTAGGTGGTGTTTTCTGTACTTCTTTGACTTTTCCAGCTCTTGGCTTCACTTTCTCTTGTTTCCCACCTTTCACTTCCTTTTTAATCTTCTCTTCCGCCTTGGCTTTCCTCTCTTCTATGCAGAGTTAAAGACAAGTTGGATTATTTTTGTTTATTTAGCAACACAGCATTTCATCTTTCATTGGTTGCTAAGAACAATTTAAAAAAGAAAGAAAAGAAAAACAATGGAAAAAATAGCAGCCCTGATATACATACTTGTGACTATTATTATCTAATTTTTATATTGTCTATGAAGTGACATGTTAGAGTACTTAAAAAAAAGTAGCTCACTTACAAGTTGGACACTTTCTTAATTTGTACATGAAAACATTGCCTTTTAGGTAGCTACCAGATTAGCATATCAATAAGGAGCCATTTGAAATACACAAGGGATGTATATACAGGCATGTTCAGTGAAAGGCAAGCCCATACCAAAGAGCCTTTTTAGAAGGATATAATCTTTTTGTTCCACAACACAAATATCTTAAAAGTCATTCAAGAAACTAAACATAGTATTTTTAAAAAATAACTCTTGGGGGTATAAAGGTGAAATCACTTGCACGGGTAGTGACTAAGAGAAATGAAACAATAAAATCCATTAAAGGATACCTCAGAAACACTCAGGCTCTAACGACTTGACTTTAAAGGAGATGGAAAGAGAGCAGAAAATGCAATATTACCTCCTGCTTATCTTAAGTCTGAAATAATAATTCTAATCACTTTTAAAACCCTTACATATATCCTAGTGAACAGAAAGGGCTTTAAATTAGAAAATATGTTAATCACAACATACATGCATATATATATTCTACACACACATATTCTTAATATGATATTCTATGCATTTGGGAGGAAGGAACTAGAAATGTGAACTAATCAGTTTGTGAAACTTTTCAAGTATTTTACAAAAAGCAATAATAATACAGCACACATTTGTGGGGAATTGTTTATATAGATGCTACACACTGGACATGATTTATTCTATGGGACCACACATAATCAATAGACACCACGATAAGTCTATTGCCATGTGACTCTCTCACGTCATTTGTCAATGTAACGGATAGGCTTTATTGTCACTCATGTTGAAAAATTTGATGAAAATATTATAATCAAGTTTTTTTGCTTTAGTACGTTAAGCAATAATTTGAGACTAATGCAAGATGAAATTATGAGGTCCCACGAAGAGAAGAATGAAAATGATAATGTCTGATGCTTACAAAACCAAAATCATCAGTGGTACTGCATTTAATTGAATGAACCAAACTTCCCAAAGCACTGTTTCTCAGAAACTTTGCAGGAAGATGATGCTACTATGTTAAAAGTATAAGGATATTCCTATGATCAAAGAAATTTGGAAACGAAGTTAAATCAGTTTTTTTCACTATGAAATTTCTCAAAGCTAGAGTCTATTGAAAATCTTCAAAAAGGGAGATTATTCTATGCACTGTTTTCCAAAGTTGCTTAGACATAAAACTCTTATACAAAACTCATCCAATTACTCCACAAATTCCCAATGTCTCTGTGGCTTCTGTAACTATATTCAATTGGGGATTTTCTTCTACTTCTTTTAAACCATTTTTAAATTTCCTTTGTTGGCTAGTGCTCTTTCCTACAGCAGATTCATAGATTTCTGTGACTGAAACCATCAGCTCTCTGCAAATGACTTTAAATCAACATAATTCCAAAACCTCACACCAAATATTTATTAATTTCTGGCTACAGAGGAAGTTCCCCTGAGATGCCAGCAACACCTCAGACTCACACAATTCATCAATGTTCACCTAACGAACTCTTCCAGAGAGCTTAGCATGGCGTGGGCTCAGAGCGAGTTGCTGGAGCTCTGAAGATTAGCAGGATAAAAAAGGTTAGGATGGCGTTTAAAATCCTGCAAGATCGGGTTTCATCCTTTTTTTTTTTAAAGATTGTATTTATTTATTCGAGAGAGAGAGAATGAGAGATAGAGAGCACGAGAGGGAAGAGGGTCAGAGGGAGAAAAAGACTCCCTGCCGAGCAGGGAGCCCAATGTGGGACTCGATCCCAGGACTCCAGGATCATGATCTGAGCCAAAGGCAGTCGCTTAACCACTGAGCCACCCAGGCACCCAGAGCTGGTTTCCTCCTATCTCTCCTCTCATAGCACCTTTCCAAAATTTCTTCCTCCACTAGACTACTTTCTTTTTCTTGAATGTCTCATGCATTTTCTACATGTCAAACATCTCCAGGCTTCATTTTTTATGGTTGCTGTGTTTTCCGCATATATAAATTTCTTTGCGCTCAGTGCATATGGAACAAAGGGCACGGCCATTGGAATTAATCTTTCCTTCACCTGAGCTTCAGTTTGCCTCAATTTTTATTAAAGCACATCTGCTTCTCCCCATTATATATCTTGTATTACAAATGATTGTTCACACATCGCTCTTCCTTACCAGACAGAGCAACTTGAGGATAGGAACTATGTTATTCATTTTTGTGGCATCATCATGTCTAGCACAGTGATTTTTTCAGGGAAAACACAAAATAAATGTTTACTGAATTAGCACGTTTGATCAAGAAGAGAGAACAGTACATGTTTCACTGTACAATAAACAGATTGCATATGTAAACGTGTTTAAAATGAACTTGACAAAACTTGAAAAATTTGCCAAATTTTTCTTGCTTATACTTTTTTGTGTGTGAAATTGTAATTTTTGTTACATTAAATGACACCTACCCACTTGTAAGTAGCTCTTGATTTAACCATAACTTCACACCATGGAATTAAAATATATGAAATTCAGATCTACCTTTAATGCCATAATAATTTGTAAATGAGCAAAGATAATCTTCTTCAAGGCCACATCTAAAACAAACTCATTTTTATCAATGGTTTTAAGTATAAAAATAACAAAATTTTCCTTACCTCTTTTAGACATTTGTCAGTGAGCTTCATATTTGAAACAAGTAAGTTTACCCCACATTAAAATGGGTAAGAACTCAACAATGATGTGGATATAACAGGGTAAATACCGTGAAACTAAAGCAACATTGAACTGCTATTCATTTTTATCAAATGGGTAGGTGTTCTTAAATTTTATGTCGAAATACTTTTCCTGTTGTTGTTTCTTTTTTCCTTTTTTTTTTTTTAAGAATTTAACTGACATTTGGATTGAGGAGCTCACTAAGGAATGATAAAGCAAAATGTATTGTCACGCCTGTATTCCAATCACCCAGTTCTGTTTAGGAGGATATTTAATTTATGATTTTTGTCAAATAAAAAATAAGATGTTCTAGTTAAAAGAAAGACATCAGTATATTTAATTCACTTGGGAATTAGCCTTGCCCATTAGTGACTGTACTAGAATCAAAATGTCTAATGCCAAAGTAGGGAAATCACATTATCCAATAAACATATTAACATACTATTCACTTTTGGAGTTAGGATATGACAAATTTCAACTCATTCATTAAAGAACTGCCAACTGCTTCATCTCTCTGTTTCTCAGTTTTCCTCATTAAAAAAAAAATTACCACTGGAGCTATTTTTTCCTTTAAGGAAGCTGTGAGGATAAGTAAAATAATGTGAACAAAAGAATTTGTACACTGCAAAAGAAGTACATTGGAATTTCTAATATTAAATCCTCATATCCTGAATTCCTAGAGCTCATTAGAGTTTTCCTAGAACTTAGAGTTTGATGTATAGAAAGAACTACTATATTATACTCATTTTACAGATGAGAAATCTAGGAATGAAAAACCATTTGCCAAACATGGTGCAACTAATAAGGCAGAAGTAGAAGCAGTAGAAGCAAAATGACTAACCCATTTCCTCATTACAGTAAATTGCATAATATTATTCATATTAATCTCTGAGGATGATTTCAAAATGTACTTTAAGACATATGGAGGGAGATATACATATACAGAAACCAGTGAGAACAATAGAAAGTCTTCTGAAAGTGATCAATAAGTAGTAACCGCCCCTACTTCATCAAATACACACATATCTGAAGATCATCATTTTCCAGACAGTTCGACAGGCTGGCCTGGACTTGGCTTACTCCACTTACTTCTCTTGCCATCATCTCTTCTTCTACTTCTTCCCTGTCTTTGTTATTTTTAAAGAACTATAGGAATAGGCTAGTTTTCACAATAATATGAGGTCCTACACATGTACCAGGGAGGAACAGAGAGTTGCTGCTCTTGGAAATGCTGTGCTTGAAACAGATTATAAAATGTGCTGTGTTTCACGGGAGTGCCTCTGGCAATCAAAGTCTTCAGAGGGAGATTTTACTTTAACTCTGGTCATACCTCTCAAATACAATAGGTTATCTTTGTTTCTAACTTAATTATCATACACTATAATGAATACCTTTTCAATCTTATTCTGTTTTCCCCCAAATTACCCATTACACAAAGATAATTTCTTATGTATTTCCTATGTTCTTAACATAATGTATATATACATACATAAAATAAAAAGGAAACATATTTGGGTGTGTATATACATGTATGTATATATACATGTGTATATACATACATGTATATACATATATAGGTTGCCTATACATATACATATTTGCCTATACATATTTGGGTGTGTGTATATACATATATGTATATACATATATAGGTTGCCTACATGTATCTCCTGATAAGAATATAAGTATGTAAATAAAATATTTGTGATTTGTGGCAGGCCAGGCTGACTCAAGATGGCCTGCCCGTGACCTCCACTTTCTGGTATTCATATGCTTATGTCATCTTCTCCCCTTGAATATGGGCTGGCCAATGCATTTGCTGCTAACCAATAACATGTGACTTCCATGATTATTCTACATAAGATTATCTCTGTTTTACTAGATGATTCTCTCTCTTGTTAAGTTTGATGAAGCCAGCTATATATTAGTGAGACTCATGTGGCAAGGAACTGAGAATGGCTTCCAGCCAACAGTCAGAAAGCATGGAGGCCCTGATTCAACAGGTTTTGAAGAACTGAATCTTGCCAACAATCATGTAATGAACTTGGAAATTGTCCTTCCCCAGTTGATCCTTCAGATGGGACTGTAGCTTTGTTAATACATTGATTACAGTCTTGTGAGACATCGTGAAGCCGAGGACCAAGCTAAGCCATGCCCAGAGTTTTGACCCACAAAAGCTGACATAATTAATGTGTGTTGACCTAAGTTTCTAAATTTGTGGTAATTTTTTCATAGCAATAAATAACTAGTACCGTATTAAATAGATATTTTTGAAGGAATAATTGATGCTTGAAGACCTTTATTTATCTTTGGAAAGAATACTAGACTTTTACTCAGTTCACTTGGGGTTTTGTCTTAGTTTAATTGCATACTAGTTATATAATCTGCGAAAATTGTTTTTTCTCCCTAAAGGTCAGTTTCTTCATTTGTTTAGTTAGGAAATTAGGTAAGATGGTCTCTAACATCCCTACCAGCTGTAAGATTTCATATATATATGAATTTATTTTCCTTCAAATCTGTCCAAAAGAAGAGAACCAAATAGAATATAATAATATATATTTAATTATAAATTTCATCTTAAGACTAAATTCATGCTACCTTCCAGGAAACAATCTTAGTTTATAATCCATCTATCTTAATAAAATGATATTTGGTTATCTCATGAAAAATTTAGTAAAAATATATCTGCCTCAAATATTTAATTATTTTGCATTGTGTAGGTAAACACATTGAATTTTGAAAGTAGATTCCAATGTTTATTTGAATTAGTCCCTTGAAAACACTCAATTGAGATTTCTAAAATGTACTGGTCACATAAAACCTATATTTTAAAATAGGAAGAGGAAATTTAAATTCAGGACATAAGATTGAACTATCAGAATCCATATTTTAACATCAAACAATTGGCAAATAAATTGAGAATATGAAATTTTTAATTTAGTATTTTTGGAATCCTCCAAAATACATAACATTACATTGATATTCTAATTGTTTTTTGGGGGGGTATATTATTAAGATACTTTTGGTCTTCAATGGCTTAAAATATCAATCAAGATATATGCATTATCCTTTCTTCTTGAAGAAAATAAATCCGAATTTGAATCTTCTAAAATTAACTCGTAGTGTACTACTGGTCAAAAGCTGTAAACCAACTATGTTGTGCTACTTTCCTATCTCTACAGTAGCAAATTACTACAAACTTAGCTGCTTAACACAATATCCATTTAATATCTCCCGATTTCCAAAGTTCAAAAGTCTTGGCACAATGTGGCTCAACTAAGTTTTCTGCTTAAGGTTCACAGGTTCACAGGGCTAAAATCAAATTGCCAACAGAGCTGCATTTTTTACTGGAAGCTCTGGGGAAGAGTCAATTTATTCAACCTGCTGACAAAATTCTTTTTACGTTGTCCACATGCTCCCCTCTATTTTCAAGCCAGCAATGGGGGGCAAATCCTTCTCACACTTCAAATCTTTCTTTCTCTTGTGTCACATATCTATGCTTTAAAGATTCATGAGATTACATTGAGCCTACTTGAATAATCCAGGATAATCTCTGTATTTTAGATCAACCTTAAATACTACAAAGTGCTCTTTGCCATGTAATATAATATACCTATGGGGATGACAGCAAGTGGTAAAGGTCTTGGGGTTCCAAATTCTTCCCACCACATGTGGAAAAGCCTTTCAACTTCTTCTCACATGTTCAGAGGCTCTATTATTTTAAATATTTAGTTTTATTGTTCTTTAAAATATTAAATTTTAAATGTAAGACCAAATTAATTTTTATGTAAAGGAAATGCTGAATGCTTATAATCATCCAGTTCTCTGACACCCAAAATATAATCTTTTCAATAAAAATAATTCAGTTATAGAAATAATAAAGGGGGTGGCGCCTGGGTGGCTCATTGGGTAAAGTGTCCAACTCAATCTCAGTTCAGGTCTTGATCTCAGCATTATAAGTTCAAACCCTGTGTTGGAGTCCATGATGGGTATGAAAAAGAAAGAAAAAGAAAGAAAGAAAGAAAGAAAGAAAGAAAGAAAGAAAGAAAGAAAGAAAGAAAGAAAGAAAGAAGGAAGGAAGAAGGGAAGGAAGGAAAGAATAAACGGAAAAGTTACCTTTTGCCATTGTCTTTGTTTCTGGTTTTTCTTTTTTCTCACTTTTTTCCTTGTGAGTTGCTTAAACAGAAAATTTTATATTAGTACATACTTTTAAGTAGATTTCAAGACCAAGCTTTCTCTTTACCTCAATTTTTATAACCATCAAAATCATGAACTATTTTGAAGATGGATGACATTAATAAGCCTGATTTAGAAATAAAAAGGTACTAATGTAATAATAACTGTTTAAAATCCAATTTAAAATACTTGGCATTAAGATTTAGAAAGCATTTTGAAAGCTAGTCTCACTCTCCTTTTTAAAGTTATTATTCTAAATAGATAAAGTTTTCAGGAAAGACGAACTGAGAGAGCAAATTTATAATAATTTGATAACATCAAATTATTTGATAACATCAAAAGATGTTATTTTATCAGGAAGAAGCATCTCTTTATGATTAATTAAGATAAATATTTAAATCAGAATTAGAGCTTTGATTCATAACAGTGTTTCACAACAAGGACATAATTGACATTTGGGGAAATAATATCTTACTATAAGGGACTATCTTATGCATTAAAAAAATGCTTAGGATTTCTCATCCCTGCTTTACCAAATGTCCTTCACTCTAATGAAGGTTTTTCTAAATAATCAATCCCTAAGAAATAGCATCTTTGGTAGAGAACAACCAGTAAAGTATAACATAATCACAAATGATTACTGATCGAGTGTAGCTTCTTAATTGAATAGGATTTGACACGATATCTGAAACATTATACCTTTTCATCATTATGTAATAAATTAATAAATCAATATGAATTTATTTCACTAACTTCTATTAAGTAAAGGAACCCTGAGACATACAGAAGCATGTGCAGGTTAGCCACTGTTCAAATGTATTAAACTGTGTGTGGTTTGGTAGTTTCCCAAACCACCATATATTTTTCTGTCTATTCCCGCAGACAGAAACCCTAACTTTAAATACAAAACCTGAGAAAAATATCTGAAAAAGTGACAGACCAGGAAAATATACCCAAATGACATGCACAAATATTATCAGGAGAAATGGGTAATGAATGTGAACACTTAAATAAGAAATAGACTTCGCTAAAATTCATATTTAAAAACTTCAATCTACAAATAATAAGCAGTTTAAATATATCATGGAAGAAAATATCTCCATTTAAATACCATGAAGCTTTTTTTTAAAAAGAATTAGGAAAATATCCACTTACTGATACAGAAAGATCTCTAAAGTATATTATTAAATTACAAAAGCCAGAATATAGGACACATTAAATTTTGCGTAAAAAAAAACAGGGAGAAACAGTAATCTATATTATCTTATGAATGCATATTGAGGCTTTGAAAGATGCACGTAAAACTCATAAAAGTGGTTTATTGTGTGTATGTGTGGGTAGGATGGAATGGGATCTGGAAGGCTGAGAACAGGCAGAAGGAAGCTTTTCACAATGTCTCTGTATTTGTTAAACAAGGAGTCTGCATTGCAGATTCTAAACAAATACATACAAATTAAATTTTTTAAAAAATTCCAGTCCTATAGGTAATCAAAGAATGCAAGTTAAAGTAAGGAAGTATACTTTCTTACCTATCAAATGGACAAATATTTTGTGAAATAATATCCTCATTGTTGGCTAAGGCAGTCTCACAACTGCCAGGAGAAAAAAAGATACATTTCTAGAGAGTAAATTGGTAACAGAGTTTGAGTCTCAACCTAGGAATTACTCTTTATAGATTCAATTCTAAGGAAAATATCACAATATAATTTTTAAAAATCCGATGTAAAAAAGAAGAGTTCAAAAGGGGGAGGGGCCAATGTGTAAGAACAGAGTAAGAATAACTCCATACCTTTCTTTGCAGATTTTTCTTTTTCTTTTACTTTTTCTTTTTCTCGGTGTGCAACTGGAAAGAAACAGACAATACTTTTTCACTTAAATAAAGGGAATAAATAATGAAATGTTTGCATGGCAATTTTTGATGTCAAAATGTTATCTGCTGCTTTTGAAAAAATTTTTTAACTGGAATGAGGTTTTACATATTTAGATGTTTAAATATTAAGGTAACTATAAATTTTTTATTTCTACTTTCATTTCATATCCAAGCACGAACTTGTACCAAAACCAGGTCTGATTGCAAAGGTAAGAATAGACCTCAGCTTCTCCAAACCTTTAACTTCAATACCATGTAGTAGAAAACTTTAAAAATGTATCATGCTATATGCCAAAGAAGCCCAGCTCAACCCTGGAGAAACATCAAAATATAAAGACAGAAATACAGAGAAATAATTTTCTGAATCTATGCGAAGTATAATCAACATAAATTGTCCGTGTTACTCTTCTACAGAAACATTCACACTAAAAATTTTGAAAAATATACTGGCATGAGACTAGAACGACACCAAATCCTTTTAAAGAAAACTAAATTTAATTTACTATGAGCTGTGATTCAATTAATTAATGCAGTAGGGCTCAAATTTAAGTAAAAATCTTTCTCCACAATTTAGTCATAACTCTTATTAATAGCATGTCCAGTTGTCAGACTAGAAACAAGGGAGTCATCCAGGATTCATCTCTCATTTTCCACTTTTGTTCATTTGCCAACCTCTTTCAATCTACCTGTCAATGTTCTTCTTACACATCTTTTTTTTTTTATCCAATATTACATTCTTCACCTGTCATTTATTTACACAAAAACAAAGAAAGCACCTATGTGCTAAAGATTGCTAGGCAAGACGGACTCTATCCCTGTCATTGTGATGTCAACAAGCTGAGGAGTAATGGAAGTTAGACAAACAACTGCAAAAGTAGTTAATGGCACTTGGTATAATTGCCATGAAGGAAATAATCAGGTAGCATTCAGAGACCTACACTAGTCTGTGTATTTAGGGAATGTCCCTTGGTAGAAGTGACATTTAAAGATGTGAAAGGTGAGAAGAATTAATCTAGTAAGGGAATGGGAAGGTAAAAGGGAAAGAGACCATTTTAAAATTTGCAGTAGAATGCCCTTCTTGCTATATTCTTACTGCAAATATTGTTATAATACTAGTCTAACTATTCTCTTGAACCTTTAGATTGAGATTTTTCTCTCTCAGAGTAACCTTTCTAACAGGAAAATCCTATTATACTATTGACCTGTTACATACATTAGGATCGCCCTCATGGCCTAGCATGGTATCTATTACATAGTAGGTGCTATATGAAATCTAAAAATATTTTGTTGCTTTAATGATTTGGTATTTGCTCATCAATGCAATCTTATCTCCATGAATTTCCCCTTGAACTTTACATTGCAGTTATAGCAAAATGATTGTAGCTCCGCACGCATACCACGTACCCTTCTCTCTCCTTGCCTGTGCCTTCCACCTAGAATTTCTACTCCCACACTTCCCCTTGTCAATGCGCCCTTTCAGTCCTGACTCACTTGCCTCCTCCACTGTGAAATGTTCTTTGATCTCTACTTATTTCATACACCAACAGGACCATGTGCATAATTCCATTTCAACAATTAAATAATAATACTGCCATTGTTCCTATATCTGACTCCCTAGTAGGTGAAATCTCTTTAAAGACTACACCATGTTATTTTATTGTTTATCCCTGGCTCATCACATGATGTCTGCCCCATAGTGGAGTTTTAATAGATTTTTCTTTGAGGGAGCCAAATTTTAAAATATTATAAGAAAAACTACTTTCATCTTCTAATACAATTCTATTTATTAACGATATGGTGTAGATATTATAAGCACTGCTTGCTTCTGGCCATCAAAAATTTTACAACTTATCAAAATTTCTTAAATAATCAAAACCCACTGAGAAACAAAAGAAAAAAATACACCTTAGAACATCTAGGCATCATTTTTTCCTTATGTTTAATAGTCCTTTTAGGTGCTTCTGAGTTACTAAGCTCAATATAAATATCTCACAAAATAAACAGAGGACATCAGCATTCACACATGACCACCAGTAGCTTATTTTGGTTCTTTTGGATCACTATTAATTAAGCTAAAAACCAAAGGAGAATCTTGGCAAAAACAAAGCCTCTTTTAAAAGTTCTCTAGGGGGAACCAAGTTTGCATGAGATAAGCTGTGCTTTTGGAACCTGATTGGCAGGATCCCCAGGAGAACACCTAATCTGTGTCTCTGCTTCTGTGAGGGACCAGACCTCACCCACCTCAGACAGCTGGTTGTCCATTCCACTAAAGGATTTTCTGGCTGACGTGTGCACAGGCATAAATGGAGGAATTAATACAAAATCAAAAGAGCAAGGGGGCTGAATTCAAACTCAAATTAGCATATTAATGCCTCATTCCTGTTACCCTGGGGGAAAATCTGGTTCCTCACAGTCTAAGTTTTGATTTACAGACACAATCCTGTATGCTGGAATTTCATTATCCCCCACAGAAATGGTGCCATAACATTGCTCAGTGGAACAGCTGGACCCATGTGCTCTAGGGAGCCGTTCAAAATGGCAGACAGCCACTAATGCTTCTTGGATGAAAACTTCAAACTTTGGCAAGACGGAGCTCAGACACGAAGTTTTAAAATTTCATTTATCAAAACAATGCAACCATCAGTAACTGCCTTAATAATCACGTTAAAATAAAAAAAAATAAAGAATTTGCCACAACAACTTCATTTGCTAGTGCACCTCCTCTTTGCATAGAAACTACAACCAGTTCTCATATGCTAGAAGAAAAAAGTACTTTCCTTGTCATCAGCTCTGTTTGGCAAGTTACATCTTAGCTAGGACGCTTTTAGCTCAGGACAAAATAAGCTTGTTGCACCTGCTGGAGCTTAATTTGTTTGTCATCCTTATTTACAAGAAACAAAAGTCCCTTCGGTATACTGATAATTAAAAACAAATGGAATCCACCAGTTGGACTGGCCCTGATGTTTGGCATCGGAGTTGGCATGGCCCTGCTGTTCCTGCACTTGCCCAGACTCTGACCTTTCCCTGACCAGAACATTCGGCTCAACTTAACTCTGCTGCAGTCTCTTGCCCATCCCATGTGGTCCCTCTCCAGCACTCTGCAAGCTGTGCTCTGTGCTTTTACAGAGCTTGGCCCTGGCAACCTGCCAAACAGGCCCTGTGTCCTTTTCTGAATGTACCAGAGCTCATAGTGCACCTGACCCTGAGGTTCTTATCAGGCAAACCTTCCCTAGGGGCCAAGCAGTAGGCATTCAGGGCCAGGTTGGTTGAGCTCTTTGCTTATCTCTCTGTTCTTAGTTGGAAAAAATCAAAAGTTTGGCATCAAAATTTATTCAGTATTAATTTGAAGAGGCTTTAGCCAACACTAAACAAAATGTCAGATGTCGTGGGGCACCTGGGTGGCTCAGTCGTTAAATGTCTGCCTTTGGCTCAGGTCATGATCCCAGGATCCTGGAATCAAGTCCTGCATCGGGCTCCCTGCTCAGCGGGGAGCCTCCTTCTCCCTCTCCCACTCCCCCTGCTTGTGTTCTCTCTTTCGTTGTATCTCTCTCTGTAAAAAAAATAAATAAAATCTTTTAAAAAAATCTGTCTCTTGGTCAGTATGCATGTCTCTGTATGTTTTTATTTATTTATTTTTGTAACTAATCTATAGAATTTCCATTCTGTGCTAAGGCAAGATGACCTACACATTCTAAGCGATAATGATGAACTCAATAGGAAAGCACTCTTGAGTAGAGAGACTGTCAAAGATTATGTTACTCATTCTTCCTAAAGGATTATTTTATCATTTTTTAATTTAAAATAAGCACACAATTTTAGAGCTGATAAGAACCTAAGAGATCCATTAGCCTGAACTTCTTTGTCCCTGGATAAGAAAACACTGCCTCAAAAGAGTCTACAGCAGAGAAGAGTAAGAATATCATGATCAGATTTCCAAACTAGTACTCTTCCTCCAAAACTATGCTACCTTGTCCAGGCAGATCTGTGCAGCCTAGAAACTTGTTCTTATGAGCCAAAGTGTGCTGGCTGGAGTCTCCAAGCATGTTATCCACAGTCCACCCTGCAATAATATACACACTTCTTTTTCACAATAAAATTACATTTGTTTATGTATTAAAATGCAGATTAGGCCAATTACCCAAAGATATAAAGCTCATCTGATATATCCTCCAGATCGCAAAGTACATATTTAAGTTCCAAAATATTATTTTTACTCTCAAATCTGATTGAATTGTGTGGGTAATGTCCCCTTCAAACGGGGCTCCGTGGCTACCGTCAGAACTGTAATCAACTCCTCCAAAGTAAGCAATCACTATGGAGGTGACATACAGCTTTGTGAGGAGCCTTCTTGCCTCCCACTTTCCAGGTTTATCTTTCACAGCTGCCAGAGAGACAAAGGAAATATATGTGGTACTTTAAAGGGTCAATTAAGTATGGTGCAGAGAGGGCAAAAGTAAAAGTTTATACAATACAGACGGACTAAATCAGTTTGTAGTCTCTGAGAGCATCTTTATAAGGGGCTCCAGGATCTTTAGATACATTTTAAGGTCCTGTCCTCTTTGGCTTTTGATCATCATCTTCAGCAAAATCCTTTGCCAGCCTATGATTCCAGTCCTATAATGGTTTCCCAGAAACAACCCTAAACCAGTCAATCAGGATTATTATTCTAAATTACCCTTTTAAAAAAATCTTCTTCTGACTCATGCGAGACTGTTATGCATTGAATTGCATAGTCTCAAAAGATGTGTTGAAGTCCTAATCCAGTACCTCAGAATGTGACCTTAGTTGGAAATAGCCTTTGAGATGTAATCAGGTTAAAATGAAGTCATTACAGTGGTCTTTAATTCAATATGACTGGAGTCCTTATGACAAGGGGAAATTTGTACACAGACACTGATATGCACAGAGGGAAGAAACAGAGATGCAAGGAGAACATCTCTGAAGGCAGAGATTGGAGTGGTTCATCTACAAGT